TTCTCTTCAATGCAAAACATATGGACCATAAAGGCATAGAGGAGAAAACAGCAGCTGAATGCTAAGAGATTTATGGGCATTCTGAAATCAAAGTGAACAGGAAAAACATGCTTAAAGCAACTAAAAATCTACATAATACTTGTCCTGATCTGTACGTACTTTTAGAACTACAAAATGTGTGTTACACACTTGGAAAGTACCCTATATACATTCGATAGGAAATAGTTAAAAGCAAAATAAACTTGTATTTGAGAGGATAGATCATAAAGCAAGCATTAAAAGTAAAGAAAATGCAAGAATCATTGATTACATTCTGGACTAAGTGAAGAGAGGAGAGGAAGAGGAGTGAAGCAGACCACTTCATTAACAGATTACTCATGTTGATCACATTCTTTTTTACTACCTCTTCCTTCTTCATGGGGGCCAAAGAGAGGAAATGATAGAAGGAAATAAATAAGTATTCCAGAATGGGATAAAACTCGTCTATAAATTGGAGGAAAACAGAAAAATTGATTAAAAGAATCCAACGATATGTTGTTCACAAGAAACATACCTGTAAACTAGAAGCTCCTTGAGCACAGAGATGATTTCACTTTTGACTTTGAAATATATTGACAAATGCTTAAAATGAACTGGGGGCAGCTGGGTGGTGCAGTGGATAAAACACTGGCCCTGAAGTAAGGAAGACCTGAGTTCAAATGCAGCCTCAGACCAAACTCTTGCCACTTACTACCTGTGTGACCCTGGGTAAGTCACTTAACCCCAACTGCCTTAAAAAAAATAAAAATAAAATGAAGAACTGGAGCAGTATTTGCTATGATTCAAGATAACTTTTTTAAAGATTAGATGCCAATAATAATATCAGACAAGTCAACAATAACAGCAGACATGGTTAAGAAAGATAAGCAGGGGGGCAGCTAGGTGGCGCAGTGGACAGAGCACTGGCCCTGAAGTCAGGAGGACCTGACTTCAAATGTTGCCTCAGACCAGACATTTGAGACTTACTAGCTGTGTGACCTGGGCAACTCACTTAACCCCAGTTGCCTTAAAAAAGAAAAAGGAAAGATAAGCAGGGAAATTACATTATACTTAAAGGCACAATAAAGCACAAAATTATATGAACACTATATATACATACATACATATATATATATATTCACTTTATGGCATAACATCTAAGTACTTAAAAGAAAAATTAATTGAGATACATAGAGATATATACAGCAAAACCATAGCAGTGGGAGACCTCATTTTTATAGCTGAAAAAGCCAAAGAGCAAAGAGTGATTAAGTGACCTGCCTGGGTTCACATAGCTGGTAAGCGTCTGAAGCCACAATTAAATTCAGGTCTTCCTGCATATTGTCACCTTATTTAACTCATATGCAAAATGCCAAGCTGGATGAAACAAAAGCTGAAATTAAAGTTGCCAGGAGAAATAGCAACAATCTCAGATACACAGGCAATACCATTCTGATGGAAGAAAATGAAGAATTAAGAAGCCTTTTGATGAGGGTGAAAGAGGAAAGTGCAACAACGTAAAAGAAAGAAAGAGGAATTGAATGAATAAGCATAGGTAAAGAAACAAAATCATCATGGTTTGCAAAAGATATGATTGTCCACTTAGATCATCCTAGAAATAAATCCAATTAAAAACCTAAATGAAACAACTTAAGCAAAGTGACAGAATACAAAAGAAACCCACACAAGTCACCAGGCTTTCTGTACATTGCCAACAAAATCCAAAGAAATTTAATTCAACATAACTACAGGATAAATAAGCCACCTTAAGAGTCCATCTACCAAGACACACATGGAAATGAACACAACTATAAAACACTTGAAAGGAATGTCCATAATTAGAGATAAATGTTCATGGCTGAGCTATGATAATATAATAAAAATGAAAACATTACCTAAATTAACTTTTGGAATCAATGTTGTATCAATCTTACAGGATTACTTTATAGAACTAAACAATAAAAATTCATGTAGAGGAACAAAACATAAAGGACCTCAGGATAAATCATAAAAAAAATTGGGAAGGAAGAGGTCCTAAAAGTACCAAATTTCAAACTAGACTACAATGCATTCAGTATTGACCAAAACTATTTGATACTGGTTAATAAGTAGAAAAGGTGATCAGTAAAAAAGGTAATACATAGAAGAAGACCCAGGAGCAATTGAAGACAGTAGCGTGGTATTCAATAAACCCAAGGACTCTTTAACTACTGGGATAAGAATTCACTACTCCACAAAAATCAGTAGGGAAAAAAAAGAAGTTTTAAGCGAATATCACTATGTACAAGAAGTTCCAAATAGACATATGACCTAGACATAAAAAGCCATATCACAGAAGGAAATACTTTTCAAATCAATGAATAAAGAGTTCTTGATCCAAACAAATGATAGAGATGATCAGAGATAAAATGGACAACCTTGACTACATAAAATTAAAAAGTAACATTTACACAAACAAAATCAATCAAGTTAGAATTAGAAAGGGAAAAAATTAATTGAGGAGGAAAATCTGTGTAGCAAATTTTTCTGCTATGGAAAGATAACAAATATCACCATGATTTTACATTTCTACCTGTTCCATCATATACACATATATACATGCATGTATATACTGTGGATGTAAATGCATATATAAATACATATATATGACATCTCAAAAGTCTTAGTTCAATTTTAAGCTAGTAAAGCTTAATAAATGCAAAATAAAGCTTACTAAAACTGAGAGATGAGAGAACAAAACAGCAAATAGGTAATAAATGATACAAAACTAAACAAGAGGATAGTGGAATGAATTGCCTTTGGGAAATTGTAGTCCTTTTAGTGCCTCAGTGCTCTGAATATAAGGCCCATCTTAACAACAATATTCTTCCAATGATGTAGTATAAGTGCAAGTCATGGAACATCACCCTCTCCAAAGAATTAAGGTTGAGGGTTCACATGTACAAAAATATTTATAGCAGCTCTTTCTGTGGTGGCAAAGAATTGGAAATTGAGAAGATGCCCATCAACTGGGGAAGGGCTGAACAAGTTGTGGTATATGAATGTAATGGAATAATATTGTGCTATTAGAAATGATGAACAGGCTGACTTCAGAAAAACCTGGAAAGACTTGTAATGGACTGACGCTGAGTGAAGTGAGCAGAACCAGGAGAACGTTGTACACAATAACAGCCACGTTGTGCTATGACTAATGTTGATAAACCTAACCCTTCCCAGCAATACAAGGATCTAAGACATCTCCAAAGGCCTCATGATGGAAAATGCCATCCACATCCAAAGAACAAACTATGGAGTTTGAATGCAGATCGAAGCATATGATTTGCTATCTTTTGTTTTGTTTTCTCTTTCTTGTGGTTCCTATTCTAATTCTTCCTTATAACATCACTAATGTGAAAATTTAATAGGAATGTATATGTGTAGCCTATATCAGATTGTGTACTGTCTTAAGGAGGGAGGCAGGGAAGGAGGGAGAGAAAAATTTTAAACTCAAAAGCTTATGGAAGTGATTGTTGATAAATTAAAATAAATTAATTTTTTAAAAAAAATTAAGGGTTACCTAAACGTAAATAGTGCACATGAACAGGCTTCAGCACATTAGTAATGAAGACAGGCAGGACAAGGAGTGTAAAGGATGTGGACTAGTTACATAACAAGAACTAGAGATAACCAATGGCCATAACCAATGTTCTCCACTGGATCCACACATCTTTCAATGAAGTATAGGTAAGTCCTCAGCACATTGAGTGGACCCTTTATGGAGTATTTGTGGGAGTAAATGAATAAGAGCTGCACAGAACGAACATTGTGATCTGCCTGGTTGGAAGAAATACCCACACAGTTAAGCCCCATTCGTGTGATGAAGCTTAGATTCTATGGCTCCTTTGCAGATTTTAGGGAACATTTCTCCTTATAATTAATTTCATTTGGTCCTCACAATAAGTAAGTATGAAGAAGGTAGTACAAGTAATTTTATCCTCATTTTACCAATACAGAAAATTAAGCTTCTGGAGGTTAAATTACTTCTTGTGTGATTATTGTTAAGTGGAGGGAATGGGATCTGAACCTAGGGTTTCTAATTCCAGGCCCTATATTCTTTCTATTACACTTTGCTGTGAGAAGAATTTGTTGTTCAGTCATTTCAAGCGCACTGTGAGAATACCTAGCATTTATTTAGCACTTTAACGTTTGGGGAAGTGCTTTACAATTATGTCATTTTATTCTAATAATAACCCTGGGAAGGAGGTGCTATCATCAACCCCATTTTACGAATGGCACTCTATCCTCTGCACCACCTACATGCCTCAGAATAGTTCTGGCACCTTTGTAGCAAAGCATATCGGCAGTGAAGGGAAGAAGACCAATGGAAAAAAAGAGAAAAGACTCTAGTAGGCCAACGAGAAAGCATGAGGACTAGAATAGTAACAGGAGTTACCACTCCACTGGGAGTGTAAAGAAAGGGCTACGTTGAAGAGGGAATGTAAAGGAATAATCCACAGGCCTTGGGATCTAATCAGCTGTGAGATGCCAGAGGGCCTCAGAGTCCAAAATGACTTTAATGTTTAGAATGTAGTGAATGCAGAAACTGATGGCATGAAAAGAATTAAAGACGTTAGGAAGAGAAGCTGTTTTGGAAGGGAATATGATATTGAATTTTAGGCATAGTGAGTTTAAGGTACAAGGCTACTTAAAATGGGAACGTAGGGACTTAAATGTTTAATTTCGAGGCATTCAAATCATAGGAAATAACTTCAGGAAAGGCAATAGAGGCGGGAGAAGGAAAGATTACAGGTTAGACCTGAGAAGGGCCTAGGCTGTCATCTAGGCCAGCCACCTCATTTTACTGATGAGAAAATTAAGGCATAGAGATGTTAAGCGACAAAGTTACATGGGTAATAAACGACAGCTAATATTTGAATCTAGGCGCTGACTCCAAATATTTTTTAAAAAACCAAACGCTCAGATATGAGGCTGAAAAAACTCACCGGGAGAACGGCATTTCGGAGCCCGGGAGAACAGGCCGAGTCCTAGCCTGCGAACTTCGAGACTAGGCCTGGAGCGCCAACACTTGTCGGCTTGAGCCTCGTGGTCCGCCGCATTCTCTGCGCGGGCCCGAAGCTGGAGTGGGGGGAGGAGGTGCAGGAGGAACCACGCCTCCCATGTGCGCCCTCGCCTTTGCGCGTGGCTCATGTTACCTGCTAGTGAGCCTCGGCCCCTAGCGTTGGGCTCTCTGTCCAAGCCCTGCAAGCAACCTAAGTGAGCGGGGCTCACTGCAGGACGGGGCAGGGCGTAGCGTAGAAGTACCAGAAACTTACATCGCCAATAAAACCGGACAGAAGGACAGGAGCGGGAGCCGGGCGGCTACGGCGGAAGGCTGCAGCTCCCGGGCTCGCGCTGCTTTTCCGCGAGCTGCAGGGGTGAGTCCGGTCCCACGGGGACCTCCGGGCTGAGTAGTGTTGTGCAGGGGCGGCAGGGATGCGAGGCGCGGATATCCATCCTCTCTGCTCCGAGAGGCTCTGCATATCAGAGGGTTAGAGTCTCTCCTGCAGCCCTTCTGTTTCTCCTTCAGCCGCGGTGGTGACTCTGGGTTTTCAAAAACTTTTGCCTGGAGCACGCAAGTTCTTGCAGGTACTGTTAAATCTGAAAGGCTTCGGATGGGCTCCTGGGGTAGACTGAGTGACTGGATTTGGCACACCTGGCTGGGAAATGATTTCAGCTGCAGCAATTATTAAACATCAGAGGGTCGGAGATTTAGAACTACTTGGGACCTTAGAAGCTATTTTAAGGCAAATCCCCTCGTTTTACAGGTGAGGAAACCGAGGCCAGGAGGGATTAAGCGACTGTGACTTAGGGTCACAGTAAGTGTCTAAAGCTTGGTTTGAACCCATGTCCCAGACTCAAGCATGGGGAGAGTTGCCTCCAGTATCGATAGAGTCAGTAACCTCAAACTGTCAAATCGCAGAGCCTTCAGACCAGGACAGGAAAGGAGAAAAAAGTCATAGGTGCCTGTTTCTTGCACAAGGCAAAGAAATAACTTAGTGATTAAGGAGAAAGTGCTTGGTTTGGTTTTTGAAACTCATGGTCTGGAAATTTGTTTCCCTTCTTAGGAAGAGGTAATAGCAATGCCCTTGATCCCATTTTGTCTTTGAAGGACTCTAAAATCTTCCTCTTTGGATTCTTTGCAATACATACTAGGGAGTTTTGGTCAAAATTAATACCCAATAAATATTCGTTGGACACATGAATGAACTTTGTAGTCAAAGGATCCAGGAACTGCTGCAAGGGACTTCACGGGTCATCTAAAACAACCACCTCATTTTGTAGATAAGGAAATAGAGGCCCAACGAAGTTAATTGACTTGACCAAAGTCACACAGGTAATAAGGATCAGAGGCTGAATTTGAACCCAGCTGCTCTTTCTCCAAAACCACTTCAGCTCTTCCCATACACTGTGCTGTATCCTTAGCATAGATGCCAAATATGTGGTGATAGAATTTGGGAGGAAATAAGATTTCTCTCCTAACTTCTACACAACTTCTATTATCCTCTGTATTCCTGTTGAGTAAGGTGTTTCTCCTAGGTTTTAGGTTGTTTTTTTGTTTTGTTTTGGCTTACAGCTAACTTAATCTTCACTCTGACTTATTGTAATTAAAAAAAAAAACTTCAAGGATCTCGAGCCAGATTTTTTCATTCTGATCAGCAGTTTTTCCCCCCAGCACCTTTAAAACAAAAACAATTCCTCTTGCTTTGTCACCTCCCAGGTTACCTCTTCCACCACCCCCTTCGTTATAGAAGTAGTGAGCTTAGGCACATTTGAGCCTACAATGTGACCCAAAGGATCATATATAAGGATACAGAAGGATCTAGAAAGGTTTCAGCCATTAGCTATGACTCTGGGCAAATCCCAGCTGCTGAGTCTTGAAGTTTCTTATTGTAAAGTAACGGATTACTCAATTGCTTAAGAACCTTCAGCTCTCAGTTTGTACAATCTGGTGCTGTCATTCACAAAAATACTTTTCATAGCATTTTCACTTAACATGAAAACTATAATATTTAAGAGGCATGAATTTGGGAAGTTTATGACAACAATTTACATTTAGTAAAGGCTAAATTTGGAAGTAAACGAGCAGTGTTTTTGAAAAGCTACTCAAATAAGCAAAAAAAAAAGGATGGTGTAGCAAAAAGAACAAAAGTTTTAGAGTTAATCTTGACTTATAAAAGTGAGTTTAAGTTAAGAAAACAAATTTAGGAGTATCTGAATTAGGTCTGATCCTCTGGAGGAAATAGGATGAGTTCTTTGAGCAAGGTTGTAATCAAGCATCTGAGTAGTGAGGAAGTTTTTGTTTTTGTTTTTTAATGGTACCTACATGCCTAGAACTGGAACATGAAGATAAGTTTCAGGAAAATTTCTATTTTAGCATCTTCATCCTCTTTGAACTGGAACAGGGTTAACAAATTCCTTTGAAATACCGAAGAGTTCTCTTTGAATTCTGGGTTACGACTGGGGCAAGTCGTTAAACCTTTCTGCCTTAGGGTTTCTGGGTCAGTTGCAAATGTATTACCTACATTAGATACATTTAAAATTATTACCAAAACTTTTATACACTTGCATATCCTTAACAGTAGCTTAATGACGAAGTGGAGTCATAGGCTAGCCATGAAATTTGTAAAAAGATTCAAGTTTCCTCACTTCCCTGTCCTACTTGTTCACACTAAGCACTCTTTCTAATTACTGCAGTGTAGATTTATATCTGAAGACTTCCTTGGGGAAAAAAAATCCTCACTAATTTGCATTAGAAACAAACTTAGGGTAAAGAATGAACAGGTAGGGTTGCTACCAACAGATCTCCTAAGTGCTTTTCTGGAAAGCATTCTGCTTATTAACACCTGAAGCCTGACTTGTGCTGGGGTTTTTTCCCCCTGGAGCTAACTACTCTGAAACTGCACAGAGTTTCACGTTCCTCATTTATTTATGAACAACACTAAAACGAAACCAGGTGAAAAACTAAGAGTGGCTCTTCATTCATGCTGAGAGGCCTCAATGGATGATTCTCTGATTTAGAAATAATTATAATTCTAGCAGTGAATTGATTTACCAGTACTTTCTGTATATTGCATTTAATTCAAAATCAAATAATTGAGTATTTAATACTATCCTAAGTGCCATATATTTTTACTCATGTCAAGTGACTTTGCAAGTATCCCCTGCATTGGCCTTAAAAAACTGATATTTATTTTATAGGTTTTAAAGCAAAAAATTAAGAAAAATATTGGACTTTATAGAGAATTTATCCATTATAACTGACACTGATGTTGAATCATCTCTGAGTTAATAAGGAGAAAATAAACTCATGGAAAATGGGACAGAGGTGATTTTTTTCCCTTTGCTTTATCAGTTCTTGATGACCTTTTATATCAACTCTGTATTTCAACATGGATAAATAAAGTCCTCAGTGATTTTAACGTCTTATTTTATCCTAACCCCACCTTTTAGAGAATGATTTTGTGGTTTCCATCATCAGTCTTTTCATGTATCAGTTATTGATTTTACTTTTTTGTCTTTTCCCTCCTCTTTCTCACACTGTCCAAAGGATGCATAGCAGGAGAGAAACTGAAATGAAATAAAGGACCTGGATATTTCCAAAATGGAATAATTATTCCTTCAATAAAGTGTGTTGATTACAATTAGTTTACTTACAAGTTTAATGTATACTTTGAGGTTGTTTGGTCTTTTTAGTAAATGATCCTTTAAATGTATCAAACAGACTAGTTCATGAGAGACAAAGATTCATAAGAAAAGAAGAAAAGACAAATATCTTTCCATCTTAAATTCCTCAGGATCATGTTTTGTTTTCTATATTCTAATTACCACTCCACTCAATTTTTTCAAAATTCAATTTTATTTTATTTTCATGATCACATTCTCTCCTTCCCATCGAGGAAGAAAGAAAAAAAAAAACAGAAACCCTTAACAAAAAATGTGCAATCAAGCAAAATAAATTCCCAGACTAGTTATGTCCAAAATGTGTGTGTGCATATGTGTTGTTATTAGTCATTGTATTGACAATTTCTAAGTCTTTTTAAATTGTTTATTTTTACAATATTATTGTCATTGTATAAAATGTTCTCCCTGATCTGCTCACTTTACTTTGCATTAGTTCATACATCTCTCCAGGTTTCTCAGAAATCATCTCCTTTACCATATCCTACAGCACAATAGTATTCTATCACATTCATATACCATAACTTGTTCAGCAGTTGCCCCTTATATCCTGATATTTGGCAGCCCCAGAAAGAGATACTATAAATATTCTTGTACATGTGGGTCCTTCTCCTCTTTCTTTCCTCTCTCTGAGATATAGACCTAGTAGTAGTATCACTGGGTCAAAGGGTATTCATAGTTTAATAGCTTTGGGTAATGGTTCTAAATTGCTTTTAAGAATGGCTAGACCAGAGGCAGCTAGGTGGTGCAGTGGATAGAGCTCAGGCCTTGGAGTCAGGAGGACCTGAGTTCACATGTGACCTCAGACACTTGATACTCAGTAGCTGTGTGACCCTGGACAAGTCATTTAATCCCAATTGCTGCAGCAACAACAACAACAAAAAATTACAAAACAAAAAGATTGGCTACACTAGTTTATATAGATCCACCAGCAGTACATGAATTTTCTTTTCTTTTTTTCTTGTAGTGTGCTATAGTGGAAAATATTGGATTTAGAGGCAGAGGACCTAGGTTCAAAACCTGGCTCTGCTACTGTATATCTTGGTCAAGTTACTTAACCTCTCTGTTTCCTCATCTGTAAAATGAAGGGGTTAGACCAGATTACCTCAAGATCCTTCCCAGTTCTAAATCTATGATCCCATGGTTTTGTCTCTCTTTATCAAGGCAATAGGTGTTGGGTTTTGTTTTGTTTTTTTAATATTGAAACCATGATCCAAAGTTCTTCTGGTGTGTACTCTTTCCAGCTTCAGTTCTTCATTGTCATCAAATCTTTTGAAGGATTAACACTGAGAGTTGTCTGAAAGACTAGCAAATATTCTATAGGCTAATAAACTAAAAATTGCAAATCTATAGAATTAAGCCACATACATTATCCTTTTTTTTTAAGGCTATTGGGGTTAAGTGACTTGCCCAGGGTCACACAGCTAGTGTCAAGTGTCTGGTCTGAGACTGTATTTGAACTCAGGTCCTCCTGACTTCAGGGCTGGTGCTCTAGCCACTGCACCGCCTAGCTGCCCCTATAATCCTTTTCTTTAAAAAAAAAAGTTGTATATACTTGATTTAACTGATATCTTGGGGACACTTCCTAATCTATGGACTAAATTTTAATATGAGTTTAGAAAGGCTGCACTTATACATGGAGTGAGGGTGTGTCTTTACAGTATATGTGATAATAATAATTGAAGTTCATATAGTCAGCAAGCATTTATTAAGCAATTACCATGTGCCAGCCACTGTGCTTTAATAGTTCAAAGCACTTAACATTCCCTATCTCATTTGGTCCTCACCACAATCCTGTGAGGTAACTGCAATATATATTGATTATTCTCCTTTCACAGAAGAGGAAATTGAGGCTGAGGGAAGTTAAGGGATTTGCCCAAGATTATGTATCTAGTAAGTGTCTGAGACAGGATTTGAACTTGGGCCCTCCTGGTTCCAAGTCTAGGTCTTTGCTATGATACGGTGATAAATGGGTGGGATTGATATATAGCATGTCTTCAGATCTTATCAAGGGATTCTGTAATAGAACAAATTTGACTTTTTTTGTTCGTGCTTCACAGAGGGCAGAAGAGGGTCAAGCCTCTTATCTAGCTAACTACACTGAAGAGCCACTTCAGACCCTTTAATCAAAGTAGCACTGAGTTACACTGGATTCCACCATTGGGAAGTCTGTACTCTGGCTTCCAGTATTTTTTCTTCTGATTTGGGTAAGTAGTAAATAAGTAATATTTTCTTTAGGCTACATCATCATTAGATTGGGTCTTGTCTGCATTAAAGAAGAACCTAAAATATCCAGAGATCTGAACTAAACGCTGTACTCATTTGTTTGTTTTAGAAAAGGAGTGTCAGAATGACATAACCAACTCGGCCTCCTCTCACTTTCCTTCTTTTGGATCAGAGCATGCTTTAACTGGTCCTTGGGGAGAGTGAACTTGGAATGTCCTTTGTTCTTATGAGGCATCTGGCAGGCTGGCCAGTCACAGGAACCAACAACCCTGTCTTATAACATAGACCACCAGTCCTAGAATGTCATTGATATGATCTAAGGAGCAGAGACCAGATCTGTAGCATTCTCTTTGTGCAGTGCCCAGCATGATGCCATAAGCCATTGGACATGTCACAACTCTTGATGATGATGAAGCCAGGATCTCATATGAGTTATATGTAATCATGTATATGATATATTATAAACCATATACTATATTTTGTATGTGTGTATTTTAAATGAAGCCAGATTTTCCAAGAAGTAACTCAGATCAAATAGAATTAAAGCATTCCAGTAATATGTGCATGGACAATATAACTTTTAACCTTAGGTATTTGAGTTTTTTATGCTGCTACCCAAATTCTTCTGCTTTCTTTAAATTTATTGATTCCAAAAATAAATAAAAATCAACACTTTTCTAACTCCCTCACATCAGTTGTAACTCCCCTAACCAACATGAAAACCATTTCTAAGGATAGAAACAGATTAACCTTTACAAAAGCCTAAGTCACATTGTTGAGAATTCCATCTGAACATCAGGGACCTTAAAGTACTATATCTATTGAAAGTTGTCTATGAAATTTGGCCATTTGGCTGCTTTTAATTCAGAAGTCCCAAATAATCCTCATACTTCACAGCCTTGTCCATGTAGGTTTAGGGTATGCACTTATACCTAAATGTTCATAGCATTCCCCATTCCCTTAATAGGATTCAAAGAGATCATGGAAAATTCTCTATTTTAGCCCTCCTCTGGTTCTCTGGAAAGGTACAGCATCATATCTTTTGACTTATCCCACAGTACCTAGCAGAGTGCTTAGCATCCAGTAAATGTTGACTGACTGACTAGGTTAGGTATAACCCTGCCCATTCCAGACAACTAGAAGACTATTGACTATGCTATAGCCTCTCTGTTACACAAGCAAGTGTTTAATAGCCTTTTGAAATTTTCTCCATGTAATCTATGAGTTGTGGAGGTGGGGGAATAAGTAAGTGAGGTGAAGATGACTATTTTGGTCACTGCTGAAATGTGAGCTTCCTCATTCAATATGAGATAAAAAATGATCCTCACACCTTATCAACAGTTGTGGACTATTGGATTACCAGAAACGGGGTAGGAAAAAAGAGGACATTGTCTATTTAATCTGCTGCTTGGATCTGCATACTCTATCTATCACTTTGTATCTGTTGTAGGTATTCACACTTTGAAAAATTATCACTTAACATTTAAAGATTTCACATATTGGTTTGTTCTGTGTTCATCTGCTTCCTACTTTCCTCCATTTCCCAAGTCATACATGCAAAGCAAAGTACTAAGTATATGTGTATATACATATTAACACAGGTTAGAAGATACAAGCAAAAAAAGGCATGGGATAAGGGTGAGGGGAGGTAGAGAACAAAAGAACAGATGCCCTTCTTCAGTCATAACCTGAGTTTTAGCATCTGGGTTGCTCTAAGAATAGAGGATCTTCAAAAGGTACTACCTGCTGTCAGAGGTCTTTGTAAATTATAGCCTTGATACCTTGAATAATTGCCCCCTCTAAGACTGCCTTTGGAGAATTTGCCTACCAGGGAGTAAATTCACCCTCTAGGTCTTTATTAAATTGCAGACCTGCTGCCTGCCAGTGGCTACCCTCTACTAACTTGTTCTACTTTAGTGACTCCCCCAGTTCATCATTGGCCAGAGAGTTCCCTTGGATACATAACATGTAGATAATAATTCATGTTTGCACCTTACTCCTTAGTCTTCTGGTGAATAAGAGCAACACCTGAGTACAAGTAAAACTCTCCTCTCTTATACCTAAAAAGGTAACATCAGCAAAAGGCATACAACTTATTAAGGATAGGGATATGGACTAGACCTATTATTTTGTAATAATATTAATAACTAGCATTTACAGAATGGTTTAAGTTTTACAAAACACATTCAAATGATGTCTCCCTTGATCCTCACAACAACTCTGTTATGTAAATGCTATTATTATCCCCATTTTACAGATGAGGAAACTGAGGCTGAGAGAGGTAAAATTACTTGCTCAGGGTCACACAGCTAGTAAGTGTCTGAGGTAGGATATAAACTCAAGTCTTCCTGACTCCAAATCCAGCAGTCTAGTTGCCTTTCCATACCATTTCATTGGTTTTGAGAACTCCTTCTACCAATGCAGGTCAGAACCTTCTCTACAATTTATAGTTTGAATTACCTAGAGCACCTAGAGATTAAGTGAATTACCCAAGATTACACAAAGTCAACTTTCTATACCATGCCGCCTCTTAATATATAACTAGGTAGCAGATTATGGATGACACTCATGGAATCTAAGTTAATTTTCACAAGCTACAATGGGAAAAATCACACTCTGTTACCTATATTGAGAGGAAGTATGGTAAAGTGGATAGAGAGAGAGCTGGTCTTTAAGTCAGGAAAATCCTTCCTCTGACTCATTCTATCTATATGACCCTGGGCAAGTTACTTACCTTATGTTCTGGAGAGCTCTCTTAATCCAGTCCAATCCTATAAACATTAAGTACCTACTAAGTGCCAAGCACTGTGCTAAGCACTGGAATAAAAAGACGTCCCTGCCCTCAAGGAGCTCACAGTCTAATGGGTGAAGACAAGAGGTGTCAGGCTACTTTATTAGAGGGAGTGTTCTCATGCTTCTCTGTATCAGTGAAATCACAGGTTTAGTGTCTATCCCTCTTGCCTATAGCATACAGGACCTCCCCCCATCTCCAATTTTTCTAACTAGGTATCCAGGCTAAGTCTTTGTCTGTAAAGTTACTGCCTTGTGGTTTCTTCAGCATCTTAACTTCCTTATGTTATGAAATAATTGCTATTTTAGCTGACCTATTTCCCCTACTTTTATCCATTCACACCCACATTAAATCATCCCAGGATATCCCCTTTTAGTGCCTTATTTTTCTCTTTCATAATCAAATTCAATGTGGCATAGTGAATAGAGGGATGACCTCAAATGCAGGAAGACCTGGCTTCAAATCCTGACACATACTGGCTATGTGACCCTGGGCAAGTCATTTAACCTAGCTAATCATGTCCCCTCTAGTTTTTTCTTTCTTTTTTTAAAAATCTGAACAACTGACCTTTCTGAGTGTGCAGACAACCATGATCTGTGAGAAGAGCCATATTCTGGAGGGCAACTGAGGCTTTGCCCAAGGATGCTGACAACCTTTTATTCCTTTGTCAGGTTGGAGCAGCTAAGAGTCACTCTATGCCACTATCTTAAGACTATGTGTTACAGAGAAGGTGCTGACTGGCTTTCTTCACTTGGGGAATTTTCTGTACCAATGAAATAGCAAATTTAGCCCCTATCTTTATCCCTTTTCCTCGTTAGGCCAATTACATCTATCAGTAGCAAGTGAGTAATAGTCACGATAACTACACTATAAAATTGCACAGCACTTTATATGCATTATCTCATTTGATCCCCACAACAATTCTGTGCAGTAGATACTGTTATTATGCCTGTTTTACAGATGAGAAAACTGAGGCTGAGAGATTAAGTGATTTTCTCACAGTTAAAGCTAGTGTCTGAGGCAGTATTCAAACTCAGGTCTTCCTGACCGAAAGACCAGCATTCTATCTACCAAGCTATGCTGTCTTTCCCTGCACAGCCTGAATCTAAGGATATTTTATTTTATTAGATGATAAACCACTCAAGTGGAACACAAATCTGAATTGTTGGGACACTTACCTTTCTAAGGCTGTGGAGCCATGGAGGCTGGGTACTGGGAATTTCTGAAATATTCCTAGAAAGAAAATGGATGGTGCAGCTTTTAAAGGCAGCATTATAATAGGAGACTAGTACCTGAAAAGATCGAATGCATTCAATGAACTTGAATAATTCTTCAGTGCCCCAGTTATTTTGAGCTTTGGGTATCTGATAGGTGAGGCTTTACAATATAATCAAACAATTAGAATATATAGTATCAAATATAACTCCTCTGCCTGATTTTCAAGGCCTTCTATAATCATATTTCCTATTATTCCTCAATATGTGTCTTTTCCTTTTGTCAGGCTAGTGTCTCCCCTGATCCTGTCAACACCCCATATTTATTCTTCCCTCTGCCTTTATCTTCCTTCCAATGTGAAAAGCCTATCCATCCAAAATTAATTCAAATCCCACAAGTCCCATGAAACTTTTCCTAGCAAATTTTGTTCCTTCTGCATAAAAAAAAATTGTGTATGTGTGTGTGTATGTCTGCACAAGCAACCACTCTGAATGAGCCAACATCCATGAACTTCAAGAAGTGCCATAACCTGGGAGAGCATCTGAGGCTTGGCCAAGGGTGCTGACAATACTTATATTCCTTTGGCAGGTAGAAACAGCTAAGCTTATTGCCTTGTTAGCAAAGATGATTAGTTAAAATGAATAGTTAACAAATGACCTAATTCCCCTCCTGTACACCTATGACCATTCAAAGTAGGGTCATCTACCTTTCATCCCAGACTTGCTAGCCATAATGTCTCCAGAAACAGCCTTGTGATATCCTTTATCCCAAGATTTCTCCCTGAGGTTGCCCCACAAAAGACAGAATTTGTCTTTAAAAAGTTTTAAAGGGTACCTTTCATGCTACTTGACCTAATATCACTTTGTGATGCTTTCTCTAGACACCAGAACTGCTAGTTATATAGTTCTGTTTAAGTACAATAAACTATGGTAGCAAAACTTAAGACAAAAGTTAGTCTGACATCTTTAATGATAG